GTCTGTGAGAGTCTGTGAGAGAACGCCCACTCGTTCCGTTGTGACAGATTCCAGGGCCACGTCGAGGGGCCCTACCCCACCACCCATGGCTGCTTCTGGACTTGTTTTAGGTTTGGGTCCCGCGCACGGACAGAATGGACACGAAAATGTGAAAATATTATTGTAAATGCATTTGTTTGGCTCCTGGGTGGCTCGCACACCATGACACTATGCCGGAAATTTGAGTTTTTCCGGCCTGGAAAGCCTGTCAGTGAGGCGCAAGAACTTGTAAATCATGTCGTGAGGGCCAGCATAGTGGCCGGCTGGCCGCAGGAGTGTGTGGTCAAAATTTCACTCAAATCCACTGAGAAATACCAAAGTTACGGTAAATTGAATGCCATATGAAATTTATGGGTACGCTGCCCCCTTAACTCGTATCCATATGTCCTTTTCCTTTCTACATCTTTATTAGGATGTACATTTGCATGCACAATAAAAAAAACATTTTGCGGTCGGGTGAAAAAAGACGGTCGGTCGGGTGACCGGTGACCCGAGACAACGAATAAATTCTGGGTGGCCTTACATGAAATGGTGTAGTGTAGAAGCCATTGTAGAGGGTCTACGCGTGTACATGTACATGTAGCTACATCCACTCTGCTATGCGGCTTCTCGCGCGCTTCAGGCAGTTCAAGCTTCCACTGATCCGAGTACATGACATAGAAATGGTTGGCATTTTTACCCTTCACGCTATTTTCGACGGTCGGCGTGTTGAGGGCTAGTCTATTATTTAATTATTTATTTACATTGAGTACTGTCGGCAGCCTAGGGACTTTAGACATCTGTCTAATTATTTATTTATTTATTTATTTCTGCCCTCGTGGCATGTCAAGACAGCCAATTGAATTGAGGAGAAGGTGAGACCAACCGCGGAAGAAGAGAAAAAGAAAATGAAGAGCACGTACACAAAGTGGGAAGGGATTAGCAACATACAAAGCAATGGGATGCTCAGCGAGCTATGCAGCGGAAGTGGTGACTGTGATTTTGTTTACTGGGAGATACTGAAGTGCTGTCTGACGAGTTACGTACGGAATTTGGGCATATCTGGACCTTGTCTAACACTGGGAGGCAGTTGGAGCCACGCGGAGTAGGAGGAAAAGAAAGGGAAATTTACGAACAGGGTAGACCTAGCTACATTGTAGGGGGAGACGAACGCAGCTTCGGATGGTGCCACCTGACTTAAACCAATTAAGGGATTACTGTTTTTGATGTGTTTTCGAGACACGGTTAGCAGTTTGGCTTCTGAGTTCTGACTCCTTACGCAACGATCGACTTGCGACGTAACCCTAGTGGGAATTTTACCGTTTCGTTCTCCCGCTAAACAGAGCTTTCTATCGTCGAAACGGCACCAAACCGACTGTATTTTGGGTTTGGGATACGAGTGCCGTTGGATCTAGCGCGTGAACTGTAAAATGCCATGTTGTACACACACACAAAATCGGTGCAGGCCGACCATCGAAAATAGCGTGAACGGTAAAATGCTAACCATGTGTGTAGATTACACCGTACACTACCTCGTACGTCTACATTAGTATGCGGTCAGTTAGGCGAGTGACATTATTTTCGTCGCGAGACATTTCGAGGTGGTCATTCCATCGAGTGACAATTCGCGACGGTGCAGTTTCACAGCGTGATTTTTTCACGGCCTGACACATCCCGCGAGTACATTTCGACGAAGTTACATTTTCATCGCTGACCCTGTCAAACAAACAATACTGGCTGATGTGATACTGGGAAGTATTGCGACTATAGTAGGCAACACATGCACAGACGTAAGGCTGCATAGTGCAAATATTTACACCTGCTGAAGGAAAGAGGACCGAATACCAGTGACCCTTACAAGCAGCTCGTGCGATTAACATTGAACTGCACTGACAAACCGCACTGACGTCACCGTTCTGCACGTAACTCACTGGCTCTCCACCAGAGTCTATTTTGCACACCTTCTGAAGGGATACATGATTTTAGCGATACACAAACGTGATAACTACGATCACGTGAATGTACTTTCAGGATGCTTAGATAGCTGAAATTCTAAGGACGAAGTGATTCAGTGCGAAATCTTAGCACATTGCAGTTGCGATTTTTCTCCACCGAGTGATACCAATATCCCCCTTCACTTCCCATTATATGTTTTCAGCCCTGAATCTGGCTAAAGAAGCTGCGAAATGTTCTTTCCTCAGGAAGCTCAAAACGCTGTAGTCCTAGGTGCAGTCGTCAAACCTCGTACTGCAGTGGATTTGGACTAGGTAGCCAACAGCTCGTGTCGACGACGGCGCACAGAAGATGTTTGGAAAAAGACTCAAACACGCTGTGTCCAAGCAAAAACGGCGGTTCATTGACGCTGAAAATGGATTCGACTTGGACCTCAGCTACATTACGCCGCGGATTATCGCAATGGGCTTTCCGGCGGAGAAAATCGAAGGCGTTTACAGGAACCATATCAATGAAGTAGTTCGGTTCTTGCAAGTGAAGCATGCTGACAAGTACAAAGTATATAACTTGTGTTCCGAGAGATCGTACGATCACAACAAGTTCCATGGAAGAGTTGCTAGGTTCCCATTTGATGACCATAACGCACCGCCGTTTGATACGATTGAGAAATTCTGCGAGGATGTGCATGATTTCCTGAGGCTGTCGGGAGAGAATACAGTCGCAATCCATTGCAAGGCTGGCAAAGGTCGGACAGGAGTCATGATTTGTGCGTACCTGCTGCATATTACTAGCAATTTTGAGTTCTCGACCATCCGCGAGACTCTTGAGCTCTATGGTAAAGAGCGTACCGAGAATGGAAAGGGAGTGACCATTCCTAGCCAATGGCGGTATGTGCACTACTATGGGTTCCTTGTCAAGAAACGTCTTGCCTACTCACCGACCAATCTACTGTTGAAGTCTATTATTATTGAAGGCATTCCTCGATTTAGCAATGACTGCCCAATGCGCTTTACCGTGAAGCATAGCGACGGCCAGAAAACTGCTTCAAATGTCTATGACGCTAAACGACATAGGCAAGGCGACTGTGTGAACATGCCATTTGAGTCTCCAGTACCGGTCTGCGGCGATATCAAAATAGAATTTTTCCATTGTCCTAAAATCAGGAAGGAGAAAATGTTCCACTTCTGGCTAAATACATTCTTCGTCAACCATGACTGCTTAGTGGACGACTGGGATAGCACATCCAGTCATAGTGGCGTTCAGTCATCTGAAAGGAATACTAGTGTGGGAGGCGGTATCGGCCAAATTGATAGCATGCAGAGTGTATCGAGCTCGAATACAGCGTCATCTGCTGAAGAGCCTGGAGGAGCAGCAGCAGCAGCAGTAGCAGAACCAGCAGCAACGCCACCAGTTGTTGCACCTGCCCCCGGGTCTGCGGCGAGCGTCCATAGTGAGATTGGTGCAAGTAGGTCTACAACACCTTTACCGTACTCCGGAGAGGCCGGTACGCGTATTGTATGCATGCAGCAAGGCAACCTGGACAAGGCTAACAAGGACAAGCGTCATTATCCTAACGGGTTCAAGGTCCATGTTGTGTTCTCCGTCGTTGGTAGCCGGCAGAACTTGGATAGCGACAATGGAGGGCACGATGTGGACACCGGCAGGTCTGATGACGACAACTTCAACTACTCCGACACAGATCCTGAAGATTAAGAGGATTAGAGAAAGACCGATCCAGTCACCAAACAACAGCACGTGCATCATCATCAAGCATCAGCATGACACATTCACCTCACAGCTCATATTTTGGCATCATGTATGCCCCATCAAGCCCGGCTATTCTCTGCTTACACGAAGAATACATGCAGACACAATTACAGCGGACTCCTGCACGTGTCCCATTCATATAACATTTCCCTTGCTTTCAGAAATGGTCTCAGTTGAACTGAACTGCTGCACACAGTTTGTGTCCGGGACCGGTTTCTCATTCATAGTCTTGTTTTTAGTTCATAATATTGAACTGTGGCATTTCATTTACTCCCCTCCGGCGTAACATTGTCTTAATGTGTTAATTCATTTGTTTGTTCGTTCGTTGCCTGAGTATTGAATGTTGGTTATTTGAGGTGTCGCCTGAAAACAAATGGGACTGCCATCTGTCGTAGCTCTGTTTAAGAAAGCATTCCATGTTCAGAATTGTTTTATAACTGTGCTCTTCTCTCCTCTCCTCACTGTGGTGTACTTGACACACACTGGATCCCTGTACCATCCTATTGTCTGTTTGTTTCTGTCGTGTGTGACTGTCTATGCTCTACTGTTACTACTGCTCCAACTACTATTGTCTACTTCGTTTACTGAGAGACAAAAAAAACTACAAGCCCGTTGCTTATCAACTTTCTTTGTATCCGCTGTCACACCCCAGCTGTGGCCGTGCCAACATTGGGATGTGAATTGGTACAGGGCGCAAACTACAAAAGTGCTTCACGTGATCGGATGTCAGTGAGCAGTACTGTAGCATTGTTTTGTTGTCTGATGATTGCCGGGGTTTTTACCACGAAACTCTGAGTAACAACGAAACTCTGCACTCACATCACCATCACCACAGCGAGGACAATTCCGGTGTATAGATTGATATGAGGTGATGTGAGTGCAGAGTTTGGATGGGCCAAGAGCTCAATGTGGTGGTGTGGTGTATTGGATTCCATAACGGCCGGGTCGTCGCTACTTCTTCTCAACAACGAAACTGCCCTACTATAGTTTGCTTCAATTTGTGCACCTCTTGCGTAACATTGGTCTGCTATGGATTTTATTGCTTGTTCCGGTTCTCCACATCTTGGAGCTTCATCAGAATTCTTATGTACCTACCATGCATGCATAGCTTTGTATTTTTGATATTTTTATGCATGCATAGCTTTGCTATACAAGTGTTCGTTTCAATCTTTTTCCTTTCCGGTTTAGGGTTTAGTTATTGCATGTGTCTATAATTATAGGGCTTGAAAGTGCTTCGTCACAGCATAGCAACAATTTCAAAAATTTAAAAATTGGATCCACTTGAATCCAGTTTTTGTATGGATCCAAGCACATTTCAAGCCGTCTTACTCTCAGCAAGGTGATGTTACCAGTGAAACTGACTGATTTGGCTACTGGGGGCGGGGTTACAACTGGTGCGAAGTAAAAGTCACCCCTGCATACCACATGAGTGGGTTGCTATGCACTCACATACTAAGGCAATAGCAAAGTCACACCTTAGTGGATCCAAAATAGAAATCTGATGTCAACTTAGTACTCCCTGGCCGTTTTTGACGTCATCACTTTCAAGCCCTATTATTTGGTGCATTATTAGCGCCGCGTTCTCGCACCAAATTATAATTTTTGATACTTGACCCTGCAACTCCCCCCCCCCCCCCCCTTTTCGATGTCAGGTTGCAACGCAAATAGCCCTTTCCCAAAGGTGCTCACCCTTTTTTCGCCCTTTTTGGCCCTTTTTGGAAAAGCCCGTTTCTTTCGCCCTTTATTGGGTTTTGGTGAATATCGCTCTTTTTGAGCACAGTTTCCGAAATCTCGATGTGGATGGGCCTTGGCACGCCGCATTTTTGGGGGGGGGGGGGGGGCATCAAGTTGGTGAAGCTTGTACCCGGTGTACAGAATGCTGCAAAAAGTTGGTTTTTTGAACTTTACTTCCTGTTTTGCCTTTCGTGGACCCATAAATGGAGCAGCGCGTATTCATTTCTCAGCTTGGGTTCATATCTGAACATGTATCATAGCTATCCTTCACTGTAAAAAGAGTACTTTTGCCTGTTTTCACTGAAAAGAGATCACTTTTTGAGCATATTTTGAGGGACGCGCATATTTTGGGCACGTTTGGGAAAGGGCTAAACGAAAACGCCCAGACCTCTGGTCGGTCGAGTTGCTCCATCTACATCGGCACGTCGTCCCCACATCCCCTGTGTGTTGTTTTGTGTCTGTCTCCACATGTCTCTTTGTCGGGTTGTGTTCCCAGTAAAAAATCACATGTCCTTGTTTTTTATCACACCAATACCTACGCCTTTCATCTCATTATCGTCTTCCCAAGGGCCCATCCTTTTGTCGCATGATGCAGTGCTAATCTAATCGATCTCTCTCTCTCTCTCTCTCTCTCTCTCTCTCTCTCTCTCTCTCTCTCTCTCTCTCTCTCTCTCTCTCTTTCCTCTTTCCTCCTTACAATCCTCCCTAATCCAGGGTCTGTGCACTCTTTGTGCGGGTGCGCACAGGAACACTCTAGGATCGTGTCAACTGTGATGCATGGGTTTTGCTATGTTTGGTTCTGGGGGGGGGGGGGGGGGGGAAGAGAGCGACACAAGGCAGGAGTGACCGAGGTTAGGAAGTTTGCAACACTCGTACCGCTTTCAAATCATGTAATAATAATAATAATAATAATAATAATAATAATAATAATAATTAACTGGCGACCCGTAGAATTGGAGCAGCTGGATATCTTGCTCAGGAAGAAGCTCACCAAGAAGGGATGGCATCACCCTCGGGCTGACAGAGAGAGGGTGCATTTGGTGCGCGCCGAAGGCGGCCGTGGATTCCAGAGTGTGGTAGATCTACATGAACGATCCATCATCCAGATAAATAAATACATCGAGGGCCACCAAGGCCACATTGCCATTGCTCTCCTAAAACAGTACAATCATGAAAAAGCAAAATACTCTGTCTCCAGTGATGCTGCGAAATATTTGGCAAAGATTGGTATGGAGGAGTCAGCCACAAAGGAGCAAATACGCCAGGGATACCAGCGGCATCGGGAGGAGACAATCAGAAAGAAGCCTCTGCATGGCCAATTTTGGCTGATGCTGCAGGATGCTGAGCTGGATCGAGGGCTCTCCTTTGCGTGGTTGCAGTCTTCTGCTTTGCGTCCGGCGACAGAGAGTATTGTCATGGCCATACAGGACCAGGCTATCCCAACACGGAACTTACAAGAGATATTCAATCGAGGAACAGGTGTGTCAACGAAAACGAGTTGCAGGATGTGTGGCAGGGACAAGGAAACGGTTTTCCACCTTATTGGAGCGTGTACAGCTTGTGCGGGAAGTCACTATGTCAATCGCCACAACAGGTTAGCAAAATATCTCCACTGGACATTGTGCAGGAAGTATGGTGCATCGGACATTTCGAATAAGTACACAAGTCACCAACTCACCAACGTCGTGTACAGTGCTGAAACGGATGTGTCAATCTACTGGGAAGTGCCAATTCCAACAGCAGCGCCCGTTGGAGCAAACAGACCCGACATTATTATCAAGGGCAAAGATGAAGCGTTCCTTGTGGACGTAAGTGTCCCTCTGGATAGGAACATCCGCCGAAAATCTGTGGAAAAGATACAGAAATATCAAGGACTGAAGCGTGAGGTGGAGCAGATGTGGCAGGTGCGGGCCAAGATCGTGCCAGTAATTGTGGGGGCATTAGGTGGATTAACCCCCTCGACTGCTGACTTTCTGAGGGAACTGGATGCCGGAGCCAGTGTATCGATCTTGCAAAAGGAGGCGCTCCTTGGCACAGTTGACATCATCAGGTCAATAACTCAGATGAAATAATAATTATACTCTAATAAGTTACATTGGTTTGCGAATGCCCATGGTTCGAACTATTAGTTGAAGCACCTATTATGATCGTAATATTAATCACTTGCCAATAACAAAGACAACAATAATACCATCAGCCCCCATTCACCGGTTTTGACGGTGCTTCACTGATGTTGAATGAGAAGAATTATATTGCTGCCTTCAGTGCTATTGTGTCGCTGAAGGGCTCGATTTCAGATTTGATGACAGTTACTTTTCAACGGATTTTGTTTTCTGATTTAGCTCTCTTGCTATTACTGGTCCTGCTTGTGTTAAGTCTCATTCTCGCAGATTAGTTGTATAATAGATTGTACATGCATCATTGTAGATTTGCTGTTCACAGTATTTCTCTCTTTTTTCTTTCTTTTTTCTCAGTCTCCCTTATTATATTCTCTTCACATACAACAGCAGTACTCCCCATGGTCTTAAATGACCCGGGATGCTGCATAATACAAACACAAAACCAAAACCAATAAAGCCACCCCATAATAATTCCAAGTTGGAAGGCTGTCGGTTAGCGCTACGGAGATGTGTTGAAGCTAGGTGTTAGGACGTCGAATGTTTCAGTACTCTGTCAGTTCTGTGCCTAGTTATTGCACTTTCTGACTGTATATAGTATCATGTTACAGTGATGGAGAGTTACTCTTAAAGGGAAACTGAACGCCAAAAATAAGTATGGCTTATCCGAAGGAGAATTGGGCACTGATTCCGATGAGCTATGTCTCGAGCCGATCAGAGAAGAGGAACTGTGTCAAATTTCATAAATAACACCTCCCATATTTGGAAATTGGCCTTGATGACGTGCGTACTGCTTAGCTGTCACCATGCTGTGCATGTTCAGCAGTGTAATTGAATGGAAGAAAACAATTACTTTGGTGTTTTGCAGCTCTGTTTCGTTCCCTGACGGTAACCAAATCTAGATGTAGGAATCTGTTGAGCAGGAGAGTGACACATGTCTTCCCGAAGGCTGTCCAGGCTGCAGTGGTGATGAAGAAGACACGATCATCACCCCGAGATCGATCGTAGCGAATTGGAAAACTCATGGTGAATTTGCTTCCACTCCAAGGCAATGTCGAGGTATGAAGGGTGCTTGTACTGCCTTCCAAAGTGAAGAGGAGATGAACATGGCTTTGCATAGCTGATGTTCTATGCCAACTTACCTACTCTTGCTGGTACCGTAGTGGTATATTGCAAATTTCGTGGACGAACAACTCTAGTCACTAGTGGCTAGTGAGCAACACTAACAGGTGAGATGTTTCAATTCGACAAAAATTGTTTTTGTTTGAGAACTGCCAGTGGCAGTCATTAGACTCAGTAGGTGTCTTGGCTGCTTCTTTCTCTTCATTGGTAGGGTTGTGCTTGAATAGTACAAGTACTTGAAGTAAAATAAAATAAATAGAACATGTGGAACATAAATCTAATCAAGCATCAGTACATGTATTGCGAAGTTCAACTTCAAAGCACATGAAATCACAATGATCACGAAGTTTATGTAATCAGGAGTACACCCTGTGTTCAACGAACACATACACACATGCTGTATTGCGCACCCACATGTACACATGTGCGTGCACCCCCACCCCATCCCACAGACACACGCATGCAGCGCGCACATCCATACACATGTGCGTGCCCCCCCCCCCACACACACGTGTGCACATACAGATACACAAACACACACGCACGAACACACACACACAAGATACGTGTAAGTGTACATGGTCTTGATGCTGAGCCAGCACAATGGAAAATACCTCCATCAAGATGCTTGATCAAGTTTTGTGATAATGGCACTGTTTGTTTGTTTTTACAAAGAAGTGTGGGAAAGATTACAATGCATTATAATTCATAATTGTTCTTTGCCTTGTACTGTGCAGACCAGAATGCTTCGCTATCAACTCCTGGCTTTCCATCGGCATGGTGTTCAGCTGCAGCGGCATCTGGTCCGGGGAGTTCAAGTTGCTGGATGGCTGCACTGACACAGGATGGGTTTGCGTTGGCAATGCGATACGGCAGTCATCCCACATCACGAGCTACATGTTTATGTAATTTATATTGTCGCTCGTCCAGCAACGTCAAGGCTCTGCATGTAAACACAGGAGAACACCATAATACTACTCAGGGGATAATAATTTTGGATATCAATTTCGTGACAATTATTAGATTCACACAATATTCACAACGTATGCAACACGATGCTGTCTATTGACACTACTTCAAACTGAAGTGCTCACTACTCCTCTCCCGTTTTCATCTCCCTCTACCTTATGAATACTCTGCATTACTGGTTTCGTTTCTACCCTTTCCATTGCTGCCAGCTCCCAGTCTTTTTCAATGCACAGCACCACCTTGACAGTCATTTTTGTGATTTGATGTACACATACTTTGAAGTTCAAATTCGAATTACATGATCAGATTTTTGTTCCACATTTTCTATTTATTTTTACTTCAAGCACAACTCTACCGATGAAGGAAAAGAAGCAGCAGAGAGACACCTACTGAGTCTAATGACTGCCACTGTCAATTCTCAAAAAAAAATTTTTTGTCGAATTGAAAAATCTCACCTGTTAGTGTTGCTCACTAGCCACTAGAGACTAGAGTTGTTCGTCCACGAAATTTGCAATATGCCACTACGGTACCAGCAAGAGTAGGTAAGTTGGCATAGAACATCAGCTATGCAAAGCAATGTTCATCTCCTCTTCACTTTGGAAGGCAGTACAAGCACCCTTCATACCTCGACATTGCCTTGGAGTGGAAGCAAATTCACCATGAGTTTTCCAATTCGCTACGATCGATCTCGGGGTGATGATCGTGTCTTTTTCATCACCACTGCAGCCTGGACAGCCTTCGGGAAGACATGTGTCACTCTCCTGCTCAACAGATTCCTACATCTAGATTTGGTTACCGTCAGGGAACGAAACAGAGCTGCAAAACACCAAAGTAATTGTTTTTTTCCATTCAATTACACTGCTGAACATACACAGCATGGTGACAGCTAAGCAGTACGCACGTCATCAAGGCCAATTTCCAAATATGGGAGGTGTTATTTATGAAATTTGACACAGTTCCTCTTCTCTGATCGGCTCGAGACATAGCTCATCGGAATCAGTGCCCAATTCTCCTTCGGATAAGCCATACTTATTTTTGGCGTTCAGTTTCCCTTTAACTCGTATCCATATGTCTTTTTCTCTTCCACAATAATAATAATAATAATAATTTGGAAAGGATTGGGAGAACTTCAAATTCAAAGGATCAGTTGGGGAAGTGAACTACCTGAGAAGAGAAAAAAAATAAAGTGAAAAACTTGTCAGCGCCTTCTAGGTTCAGCCTGGTCCCATAGCTCAGTGGTTAGAGCATTGCGCATGACAAGCAGGGTCCCAGGTTCGAGTCCTGGTGGGTCTGGCGTTTTTTTCTCTTCTCAGGTAGTTCACTTCCCCGGCTGATCCTTTGAATAATAATAATAATAATAATTTAAAAATTCGATGAGGAGACAATAATTTTAATATGGCAATAAGTAGGACGAGCTGAGGCGACATGTGGACTACTTTATTGACAATGTAAGCGATGGAGACGATGCAAGAAACAACCTTAAGGGTAAGGAAAACATACATGTAAGAAGAAAAAGGCAATGGAAAAAAAAGAAAGATGATTCGAACAAGTTTTCGTACAACACTCTTCAGGAATCACCGTTGTACTAAAGAACAAAATGAGAACAAAGGAAATAATATAGCAATCAAGGTAGGGTAACACGATACAATGACAGCACTGGAATATCGAGGTGCGATTTCTCACAAAAGTGTGCAGAAAACAAGGGTATACAAGTAAGAACTAAGCGTAACAAGTGTGTATCAGCAACAAAAACAAAAAAAGTGAGAACGAATGATAATAATGTAAGAAAGGTTTGCTCCCCACACCGGAGCTCGCGCTATTCCGCTGACTTTACTTGACACTTGACTGACTCACGACTGGCATCCAGAGCACACGAGAAGTCCATCGAACCTTCGACTCGGCAAACCTGCAAGAAAGCACCACTCCCTGCTCAATACACAGTGTTTCGGGGAATTCACCCCTCATCAGTTGAGCTTGAGTAGGCTGAGGAATATTGTGCCTGAAGAGCACCACTTATATAGTGCTCTCCAGGCACAAACATCACCAGGGATACAAACTTACAGAGACGCTCCGCTTCTAGCGCGATAAACACCTCGTGAACACCAGATAGCAGCGTGAGTCAGTGTCGCTCCTGGACGGTGAGACTGACTTCGAGGACCCTCGGTCATTCGCAACGCTGTCACCTCCAAACCAACTAGTCGCAAGCCCGCGCTGGGCACAACAGTACGAAGTAGTGGTTGCGACTTCGGCGATGATTTGTAAACCTTTCTTACAAATCATCGCCGAAGTCGCAACCACTACTTCGTACTGTTGTGCCCAGCGCGGGCTTGCGACTAGTTGGTTTGGAGGTGACAGCGTTGCGAATGACCGAGGGTCCTCGACGTCTGTCTCACCGTCCAGGAGCGACACTGACTCACGCTGCTATCTGGTGTTCACGAGGTGTTTATCGCGCTAGAAGCGGAGCGTCTCTGTAAGTTTGTATCCCTGGTGATGTTTGTGCCTGGAGAGCACTATATAAGTGGTGCTCTTCAGGCACAATCTTCCTCAGCCTACTCAAGCTCAACTGATGAGGGGTGAATTCCCCGAAACACTGTGTATTGAGCAGGGAGTGGTGCTTTCTTGCAGGTTTGCCGAGTCGAAGGTTCGATGGACTTCTCGTGTGCTCTGGATGCCAGTCGTGAGTCAGTCAAGTGTCAAGTAAAGTCGGCGGAATAGCGCGAGCTCCGGTGTGGGGAGCAAACCTTTCTTACAAATCATCGCCGAAGTCGCAACCACTACTTCGGAATGATAATAATAACAATAATAAACAAGAACGTGACAAAACACATTTAGGCACAAGTGGCAACAACGTTGCCACACTACACAAAAGAACATTATTTGAACAATTTTAGGGTAATAACACTATCTTTCTGGACACACAAATTCGGCTTATGAATGCACTGACAAACAGCTTCCAAAACTTGTAACTGCAAAAGATAACCATGACGAGCACGGCACAAAACAGAAAAACAGGAATCAGAATAAGTACGACAACAGTCAGTACTAGAAGCCAAATGATTGTATTTTTTTTTTTTTTTTTTTTTTTTTTTTTTTTTTACTATGTTCACATTCCCAGCTCGAAAATAATAAAGAAAGACAATTATACTGTATACTGAAGACTTGTTATTACGAGACGGACGCACACAATCTCGACTCACGCGCACGCCCTCACACTCACTCTCACCCTCACTCAGCTCACCTTCCCCCTCACTGTCCGAATCAGAACCTGCTCCGTCATCCACAGCGGTTTGTCTCTCCTCCTCACTTGCATCGTCTTGCGTCTCACCTTCACCACCCACGCCAACCGTGAATGCCGTTGCCTTCATGTCAGTCGTCGTCCTTTCCGATTGTTTCCTTTGTATTTTTACCGTGAATTCATAGGTCCGGTTGTAATCTGCTGTAGATCTCCGTGGTCTGTCATTTGCTGCTTTGTTTTGTGGATTAGTTGTTGTTGCTGTTGGATGTGAACCTGGTGTTGTTGTTGGATGTGAAGCTGGTGTTGTTGTTGCAGCCATGGTTGTTCCTCGGTCCCTCTCAATGCACACATGTGTTCCTTCGATGTTGTAAGTCTCTTTACGAATGCTCCTATCGATGAGACTGTTGACATCTGTATGGATGTATTGTACCGTAACGATGATGTTGATACTCCATGGGTATCGGAAGCGGCGTTTCGTCATTTGATGCTGTCAGTTACAACTGGTGTCGAATTTTCGTTCAACGATGTGATGTACAAGCAAGTGGATGGTGTGGCGATGGGATCTCCTCTTGGTCCCGTCCTCGCCAGTATATTCGTTGGTTATTGTGAGTGCAAGATTGATGAGTCGCTTTGGACCGCGTTCTACGTGCGTTTTGTTGACGATTCGTTCACGCATTTTGACAGTGTTGAGAGCAGTGAATTGTTTCTCGATGTGCTCAACAGCCTACATCCTTCCCTCCGCTTTACTTGTGAGCACGAGCAGTCTAGTAAGTTGTCATTTCTAGACGTGCTTGTAGAGAAGACTGGCTGTGAAATGTTGACTTCTGTGTATCGCAAGCCTATGTTCACCGGTCAGTACATTGCCTTCGATTCATATTGTTCGTCCCAATACAAGGTCAACTTAGTTCGTAACCTCGTTGACCGTGCGAAGCGTATTTGTTCGCCCAGTAAGCTGCAGGCCGAGCTCGACTTTCTTCGATCTGTTTTCTTGAAGAATGGCTATCCGGAATTCTTGTTGCGTAAGTTTCTGTCCATGGAGCAGAAACCGAAATCGGTGCTGATTGGTCCACCTCGCTGTCCCGTCTATCTATGTTTGCCATGGAAGGAGCAAAAATCAATCAAAGTGTGTCACGAAGTCAAGTCTACCGTCCGTCGTACTTATTATGCAGTACATTTTGTGCCAGTCTTCACAACAATGCGTGCGTTCACGGTGCGGAAGGACGTCCTACCAACCCTCCACCTCAGTCATGTTATCTACAACTTCGAATGCCGACATTGTGCTAGTCGGTATGTTGGTAGGACTGTTCAGCACCTGAACGCACGTATCAAACAACACACTCCACTTCACATCCTTCCACCCAGTGCGCAATCTGAGAGGCCCAAACGCGGGAGCCCTAGGAAAAAACCCATCACCTACACGGCAGGATAGTTCCCTGCCGCTGTCTGCCGTTCCCCCTCTGACATCTGTGTTGGACGGGCTTGAGCTTGGCAGCTCTTTGGAGGTGCGTGCGGAACCGCCATTGGTGCAGCCCTCGGGTGTGCCTAAGTCTGTGCCTCTGGGTGCTTTGCATGAGGCTGTGCCTCGAGTGGTGACAGCAGCTCTGCCTCCCCCTGACCCTCCTCCTTCGAGGTTTGTGTTGGTGGGGAGCACCCGTGGCGGTCGATTTGTCCCACCGGAACCAGAGCTGGATTCAACAGAAAGACCAACAACAATGGCTGCAACAACAACACCAGCTTCACATCCAACAACAACACCAGGTTCACATCCAACAACAACAACAACTAATCCACAAAACAAAGCAGCAAATGACAGACCGCGGAGATCTACAGCAGATTACAACCGGACCTATGAATTCACGGTAAAAATACAAAGGAAACAATCGGAAAAGACGACGACTGACATGAAGGCAACGACATTCACGGTTGGCGTGAGTGGTGAAGGTGAGACGCAAGACGATGCAAGTGAGGAGGAGAGACAAACCGCTGTGGATGACGGAGCAGGTTCTGATTCGGACAGTGAGGGGAAGGTGAGCTGAGTGAGGGTGAGAGTGAGTGTGAGGGCGTGCGCGTGAGTCGAGATTGTGT